AACCATGAAGACCACCAGCAAACCTCAAACCACCACAGCCACAGAGGTGACCACATCAGGTCTTTCCTCATTCTCAAGGGGATCCACTCAAACACAGACAGTTTCTTGGGGAACACCCTCCTCAGGGAAAATAACTACCCCATCTACTTCGAGCAAGTATTCCCCACCTTTAGACACATCAGACATATTCACCACCACACACTCCACTTCAGGGAACACAGGGCACACCCTTGTAACTGGCAGCGTCAGTGTGATGACAACAAGAGTCGCAAGTACTACTCTAGGCGGACTGTCCACAGTAGTGGACAGCAGTCCTACTCAGCGATTATCCACACATTCTCAGAGTTACTGGACTCAAGGCATGGAGACGTCCAGCTCGTCTCAAAACAGCATCCTCACAGAGGTGACCACAGAAAAGCATTCTTCCTCTTCACCTGGACCCACTGTGACAGAGACCTCTTCTCATGGGATGTCCTCCTCAGGTGGGTCAGCTACCTAACATTACAGGCAAGGGTGAAGTAAGGTTCCCAATGGTTAATTGTGAATAGCGCTCCATTCCTTCTGCCTTCTATGCTTATGCTCAGAGGCGCTGGCTGTTGACCGATGTAGAGACAAACGTTTTAGCTGTCTCTCCCAGCTCCTCATTTTCTGTGACTCTCATGTTCTCTGATGTAAAACCCACTCCTGTCTTCTCTCCCTATATGTCCAGGATTGACCACGAAGACGGACAATGACAGAAGCACGACAGTCTCAGCCACCCCCTCGACCCTTACTAATCCCATGAGCACCACAGCCTCCAGGTCCACAGTGCCTCCAGCCCCTCCTTTACCAGATCAGGGTGAGTGATACCAATGAGGTAGAACCCGGGTGTCTTCTACCTGAGCTGCATGGAAAGGCTCTAGCTGTGGTTGCTAGGCTACATTTGCCAATTTAGATTTTTGTGTGTGACTGAGGGGTCCATTTTTTAAATTTTACTCTGTCCCATTCAGGCCACAAATAATCCACCCTTTCTCCTGTGGTTCCTCTAGACCAGTGGATCTCAACCTGTGGGTCATGACACTTTGAGGGTCAAGCAACCCTTTCACAGGAGTTGCCTAAGCTCATCAGAAAACACAAATATTTACCTTACAATTCTTAACAGTAGCACAATTACAGTTATGAAATAGCAACAAAAATAATTTTATGGTTGGGGGTCACTACAGCCTGAGGGTCACAGCATTAGGAAGGTTGAGAACCACTGTCCTAGAGAGATCAGAGATGAATGCTCATTCTCACTCTGCTTGCTTACTCACAGTCTCTGCTCTCTGGGACGAGAGATTACAGGAAACAAGGAGACAGCCTCAAAACTGGGTACCGAAGGCTATTTTGTGCATTGCATTTTGCTGGGAGGTGGAGATAGGAAAATGTTCATGGACTGATGAAAGACCAGGATACTAGGGACAATCACAGTAAGGGATATGGAAATAGGGTAGAAGTGAACAGGAGGCTTCCTGGTGAGAACTCGGGGAGAGGGAGAGCACCCTAGACAGGAAAATGGTCTGAGCAGCTGGAATAAAGTCACGGGAGAGGGCTGGAGAGATGGCTCAGCGGTTAAGAGCACTGACTGCTCTTCCAGAGGTCCTGAGTTCAAATCCCAGCAACCACATGGTGGCTCACAACCATCTGTAATGAGATTGGATGCCCTCTTCTGGTGTGTCTGAAGACAGCTACAGTGTACTCGTCAATAAAATAAATAAATAAATATTTAAAAAAATAAATAAATAAAGTCACGGGAGCGAAATGACGGTCCTTGTGTTGGGTTGGGTAGAGGGTTCCAAAGCATTTGGAATTGCCCAAGAACTGTGTGGGTAAGGGAACCAGGAAGAGTATAGCTCTGCCTAGTGGTGGCTGGTATGAATAAACTTGGGAGGGTCAAACAAGGAAGCCAAGAGACTGTGCTAAGCCAATCAAAGCCATGCAGTATAGAGTTAGAGCCACTCGAGAAACACAAAGTTTCCCAAACTGGAATCTGAGGACATACAGGGCGGCCTTGGGCAATTCTGGAGTGGGGATCTTCAAATTTATCTGGAGAAGTACCACTGTAGAAAACAGGTGTCATTTTATGAAAAGGTCTTTAAGCGACTAGTCTTTGCTGTTTTGGAGTTTCGTCTTTTCACCCTTTAGTAGTCCTGACTTCCTGATCAGAGGATATCCCATGGTGATAGCCTAACAGCAGGACTGTTATGTCAGGATCCTCTAACCTGAGGGATGATGAGGGTCCCAGCTGAGAAGTAAAGGAGATGTGTATGGAGAGGTAGAACGAAGAGTAAGGCCTACAGGGTCACTTCTGGAAGACGGGACAGGTAAGGGGCAGGTTAGGGGAAGCTCTCTCAGGATCCTTCTGAACCTGAAGGGAGGGAAGACCCTCAAGGACTCTTCTCTCTCCTCTGTCCTGGCCTAGGCATTTCTCTATTCCCCTAAGGGTCTGAAGCTGGAGACAGCAAATTGTTTCTCAGGACTGTGGATTTTAACTCACCAGTCTTCAAGATCCAGATTGGCTTTCCTCTCGGCTCCTCCCTGCGGGATTCCTTCTACGTAAGTCTCTGACTGTAGCCTTGTGTCATGTCTGTGGCCTGTGTTCTCTGGGCCCCGTCTCTCTGCAGAGATGGCTCATAACAGAGCAGAAGAATGGAGGTCACTTTGTTGTATAACACTTTTGTGCTTTCTTTTATGTCAGAGTTTCTAGTTGTGGAAAGCCACACCTCCCTGCCCGTGTGGACAAAAGCATCCTTACCCTGCTAAAAAGGGACTGTGGCTGTTTCACAAGCTTTTTTTTTTTTTTTTTTTTTAATGAGGAAGAAGCTAAGCTCAGAAACTTGATTGGTTCTCACCATTTCTATTTCCCAGGGGTTACTTCCCTAGGAAAGGTGATCCTAGTTCCTCTTGTCCTCAAGGAGTAGGATCTCCCAATGAGAGCTCAGCACAGTGACAGAAATGAGGGTGTTGACTCCGTTACCCTCATCTGATATGTCACAAGCTTCAAGATAGGGCGAGGCACTTTACTAAGAGGGCTTTGTTCTGAGGAAAGCTGGGGTGCACCACAGAGGCAGGACACCGTCCACTACTTTGGACTGATAAGGGGATGTCCTGATAGGGATGAGTATTTGTGAGGTTTCTAGGTTTTGAATACTCCTGGAAGGCAAGGAGTACACAAGAGAACCACAGAGGTTGACACCTCTAACCCTCTGCACAGATGGTCTCTTAGGGGGAGCTCTTCTGAGGAACAGACCCTAGACTAGGATAACCCTTCCCTCATCCCTCCCTAACCAAGAACACTTGTGCTCAGTTTACAGATAATGGTCAAATCATTTTCCCAGAGTCAGACTACGATGTCTTCTCCTACCCCAACCCACCTCAAAGAAGCTTCACAGGAATGGAGCATGTGGCCATGGTGGCCCCATTCTGGGGTGATGCTGATTTCTCCAGCTCCAGAGGAGCCATATTTTACCAGGTGGGTCATTCGAGAACTTGACAGTCAGGAGCTTCCAGCATCTTGCCTGGAGGGATCAAGGGCACTTCAAGGGCATTGTATCCTAGCCTAGATTTTCCTGGAAAGGGACTGAAGTTTACATACAGGGTGCAGAGGAAGCCGAGAAAGAATGCTAAGTAGACTCTGGAACACCCTACTCCAACCATGTGAAGACCTGCGTGTGACAGGCATAGAGGTTGAGTCCTGAATTAAGTTAACTATCCCAGCCTGGGAAAGTGTGTAGCAGCAGCCGTCATAGCAAATATGTTTTGTGTGCCTGCTGCAGACAAAGCTCTACCTCAGTTTCAAAGATGGACAGACCTGCACCTGTCCTTAGGGAGTTACAAGCTAGACATGGGAATGTAAAACTAGACACATCTGGTCAGACCATGCAAGCCGATTTGAACTAAGAGATGCATCAGTTCAATTCCAGAAGGCTTGACTTTCTGGATGGGGACCCTGTAGTTCACGTGCCCCAGATTTTCCTGCAGCCTAAACTTAAATTGATCTTAAAAGAAAAGGGCTTGTAAAAATTCAGACTTGGGGGAAAGATGCAAGGCAGCCATGGGCACCGAAGTGACTAGCGTCCCCAAGCAGGCAGCAGGGATTCCTCAGGACAGTGGTTCTCAGCCTTCCTCGTGCTGCCCTTTAATATGGTTCTTCAGGTTGTAGTGCCCCCAAGCCATATAATTATGTCATTGCTACTTCATACCTGTAATTTCGCTACTGTTACATATCATACTGTAAATATCTGATATGCGACCCCTGTGAAAGGATCGTTTGACCCGCCCCTCCCCCCCCAAAGGGTCAGAACTGATGCCTTATGGACATTTAAGGGCCCCTTGCTTCCTTGTTCTTACCCGCCTTCCTTTCCTAGGAATATGTCACATTTTACAATGAACACCATCAGCTAATCCGTGAGGTGGAGACCTTGATTAGCGAGGACACAAGTGACTGGAGTTTCAAAGCCAAGTGGACACTGAAGGTCACCTGGGTCAGTGTTCCTGCCTATCCTGCCCAGGGGAGCTCTGGGGTGAGTGGATCATGGACAAGTCCTGTGACCCTTCTGGGAGCCGAACATCTCATAACCCTAGGTGGGAGCTACCTTTCCAGAATACCCTGACTGGAGAAAAGACTGCTGGTTATACTATCCCTCAAGAGCATGGTCTACTGAGTGCACACAGTGGGCCAGGCCTGCCTCACGTCAGAAACCTCAACTGAATTTACACGAATGTCTGGTGACTGACAACTTCGTGTGACTCACACGAGCCAGCTTTCCTTAGCTATAGCAAAGCATCAGTACATGGCACTCAACAAACACGTCATCGACTACCTATCTTCCATAGGGCATGTATAAGTTCTCCACGCCACACAAGTGGAGGGAACCCCTGGACAATGCCCTTACATACCCAGAGGGAGATAAGGAGGGCCTCTCTCTCAGCTCTGTGGTCTTGTCTAACCACTCAGGTTCCTGTATCTCTCTTACAAGACCCCTTCTAACTGGATTGCAACCCACAGCCCTTTATCTCCTCTCCCTGAAAAAAAGTTACGAAAAAGGAAACAGGGCATGCTAAGCACTTCTGCACCCACGGTAAATGCTGCCCTAACCACAGCAAGCGTGACCGCACATGCAGCCTGGGTGGACCAGGGACAGGTGATGTCCCTGTGTCTGCTCAGAGGTGTGGGGACACTAGGGAGGAAACCTCAGATATCTCATAGTCATCTCCATTTGTCTCTCTCAAACATCTAGACCAATACCTACCAAGCCATCCTCTCCACAGATGGGAGCAGGTCCTACGCCCTGTTTCTCTACCAGAGCGGTGGCATGAGGTGGGATGTGACCCAGGGACCGTACAACCGAGTGCTTATTGGCTTCTCCAGGTAAGACAGGATCCGCTTGCTGTCAGCACTGGACTGTGTGAGCTAAGTGTGCCCTGCTCACACTCCCATCCCATCCTTGAACACGCAGCTCTGCCTGAGGAAAAAGCCCCCATTCGTCCTGGCACTGTTCCTATTCCAACACCTGTGTACCAGAGTCCTTTTAACCTTTGACCTCCTTGGTCTTTCCACTGACATTCGCTGACTTCTCAGCTAGCCACCACTCTTTATACCTATTACATCATAGACATTATTTATTTATGGTTTGTTTGTTTTGGTGATCACTGCCACCCATGATAGCTGATGACTATCCTACAGATGAAACCATTATCCTCTAGGTAAGAAAACTTAGGTTCAAGCAGATGAGTCATTTGCCTAAAGTTAGAGAGTTTCACAGTGGCAAAGTGGGCATCAGAACACAGCCCCCCACCCCCCAGTGGAATTTGTGATTCCTGCAGGTTAGGTGGGGAAGGAAGTGAGGAGAAGGGCTATGGCTGGCTGCAGTGTGGGCTCCTACACATGAAGGAACCACAGCCTCTGAACAAACAGCTCCCAGCAGCCTGCTTGTGTGGCAATTGGTTGTGAAGGTCATGCATGATCTGTCACTGGGCAATTGTCACAGATGGGTTTCTTTTACATTAGGATGTGTTCAGCCTGCCTAGCATGGCTTTGATTGGCTTTTGATGTGCAGTGAAGGAGGAAAGCATGTAATTACCCAGGCAGCCAGCAGTTTCACACCGTCTGCAGTGAACTCAACAGAGACATCATGTGTGCATTTGTCCGCTAGCCTGTGTGACTGTAGAGCAAAGATCAGGCGTCGCTTTCTGTGGACATGCTCCTGCAGTGGCAGTGGGGCTGCTGCTGCAGACTTCCTTCCTGGATCCACACTGTGACAGTGCAGGTGGCCCTTGAATGTGGTCTCCACTCAGATCTGAGGGATTTACAAATGTCACTGCATTGAAGCCTTAAAATGCTCTGATGTAGGTACAACTGAAGTCCCTTTCACCCAGATAAAAACCCCCAAAGTCAGACCAGACCGCCAAGTTAGTAAGTGCAAAATCAACAACTGAAAGTGACTGCCTGACCCAGAAGCTGACCTCGAAGCGTCCCCTGCAGTATGTCCTTAGACAGCTCCAAGGGAAACAAAGGGAAACCTGGCCTCAACTCTGCAGCTCCCACGCCCTGTGTGTACCGAGTGAGTCTGCTGGTGTCTCACTCTCCCTGATGAGATACGGGATAAAGCAGCTCCCACCCCCATCCATCTTCTCTTCCTTCTTCCCCTTAGTACTGGGACTGTGGCTCAATCTGGCTGCCTACCTGACTGAGTCACAGGCTACCAGCTGCTGACTGGGGCCTAGCTGGGATGACTGACAAACTCAACGTATGAGTAGCTTTCAAAATGAGAGCAAAGAGCCTGAGTGTGACACAGAGGCCTGAGAGTCTTTCCTTTGCCTGCAGTGGAGATGGGTATTTTGAAAACAGCCTGCTGACATTCCGGCCAGCAATGGAGAAGTACCGTCCAGATCGATTCCTGAATTCCAGATTAGGTAAAAGTGCCACCCACCATATATGAGCTGGCTTCAGTCTTCCTTGCCCTCTACAGCATATGCCATGACAGTCCTAGACAGATGTAGCCTCTCCTTCACTCTGAAGAGCATCCTGCATAGACTGACAGGCGCATCCGCAGCTGATCCTGCCTGGACCTCTTCTTTCCACACCCTCAGTCCTTATAAATCTCATTCCGTAGAAGAGCCAAACCCAGGCTGTCTATCTGTAGGCATTCTGATCCTGCATTAAGGACGACAAGGTCATTGCAGGAAGGGAGATAGGTGTGAAGTTAGGATAATCCATATAGATGTCCCATGCCAGAGCTGGAGTGAGGTCCTTAAGGAGGTCCACCAAGAGGCATTCCAAAATGCCGGCATTCACTCCGTTAACATTTACCACACTTACTAACTGCCAGACAGTAGGTTAACAGACAGAAAAATGAAAAGAAAGAAGGTCAATCATGTTGGCTCTCAACAAACACTCACTGTGATGGAGACCCTGGTGTCCAGAGGCAGACCGTCAGACCGTGGCGCTTCCTCCGAGACTCAGTCTAATATTCGGAGGCTCCAACAGGAAAGAAATGTCAGCTTCCAAAATGTGATGGAGAAAAGGGCATGCTAGCATTCAGTCATGCAGATTGTAAAGTGTGAGCCCAGGTCTATTTGATCTGGGACAAAGATGTTTGGCAATCAGACACATAAGTTGGGTCAGATGACAGGTGGGTACCACCCTGTGGAAGAGGTCTCTGTTAGATCAGGGCTCTTTGTCAGACACATCAGTTTGTGTCTTAGGTATTTCATGGAGCGTGTGTGTGTGTGTGTGTGTGTAGAGCATTATAAGAAATGTTATTCTTCTGAAAACAGTTGTTTCATTCATGTGGATACAGGGTTGAAAATCTCATATACTAGATCATATTTTGTTCAGGGGTGGGAGGAATCTCTAGAGTCCACTCCTCTCCCTAAAGTTGTGTATACAGTATGAAACTTCCAATGAATTGAAGGCTTGAACTTTACCACCACCACCACCACCACCACCACCCCCACTGAAGATTTTTCTGGTTACTTCTCCCTTACCAAGATGGTGTCTGGGCCCAAAGGAGGCTTTCCCAGACTCACAGTGTTAGGACAAGGCTCCACTAGCATGCTACCTTCTCTGTGGCTTCCAGCTGGTTGCTGGGCATGGACCTCTGTCTGTCCTGGTTGGCTTTGGCCACTGAAAGGGAAGGGGAGGGTGCATCATGAAATGGAGTGTCTGGTGGCGTGACTGGGCAGACGTGTGTCTCTAGGGGGAGGAAGTGAAGTGGCTTGGGAAGTAGAAGGCAGGACAGAGAGTGAGAGTGAGCTAGCAAGAGAAAGAGAGAGAGCAAGAGTGAAAGATAGAGAGACAGTGAGAGAGAGAGAGAGCAAGAGAGAGAGAGTGTGTGTGTGTGTGTGTGTGTGTGTGAGAGAGAGAGAGAGAGCAAGAGAGAGAGAGTAAGAGAGAGCAAGAGAAAGAGAGAGCACAGGAGAGAGAGAGAGAGAGAGAGAGAGAGAGAGAGAGAGAGAGAGAGAGAGAGGAAAGAGGTCAGAGAGAGAAAGCAAGAGAGTGAGAGAGTGCAAGAGAGACCACAAGAGAGGGGGAGGAAGGAAGGAAGGTAGGTAGGTAGGTCAAGTTGATCATAGTAATGCCCCCCTGCCCAGCACTTGTCCCAGAGTTTTGTCCTAAGGTCTAAGATTTGAAGTGTTTGAAGCTTCTGTTCAAGGTGGTTTGGAGATAAATCATTGCCAGTCTGAAGTCTTCCTAGGAAGAGCTAGCCAGAAAAGCAGGACATGATGGATGGAGGACACAGCCATGAGTTTGCACGGAGCCTAAAACTGAAGCTGAGCCGGCAGGCAGCCCGTGTCCTGTAATAAGCACTGCTTTCCTTGTTTCTCAGGCATCCGGGGACTACAGGTCTACAGGCTACACAGGGAGGTGCGGCCCAACTACCGGCTCAAGTGTCTGTGGTGGCTGGAGAGTCAGCCTCAGCAGCCCAGCTGGGGCTGGAGCCAGATTACCTGCCCTTGCTCCTGGCAGCAGGGACAACGGGACTTCCGGTTCCGGCGCATGAACACAGGTGATACCTCCTTCCTGCCCTTCACAAACTCACTGACCATCGCCTCTGCTCACACCTGTCCTGCCCTCTCGCAGGCACCCTGAGCATCCTCCTCCGTCACACACACCGACAGCCCTGCCTGTCTCCTTGCCACAAGCTTCTGGGCTGAGGACGTCTGGTCTCATTGCAGGTTGGTGGGACAGGCAGCTGTGCAGCTTCTCCTCCGGGCGAGGGGGCGTGTGCTGCAGCTATGGCACCCGGGGAGAGTTTCGAGAAGGCTGGAGAATGCACAGTCCTTGGCAGTTTGGTATGTATCTTCCTGGAGCTCTCAACCCCGCCTTCGGCTCTTCTCAGACTAGCTATGGGACTTCAGGATGAAGCCTCTTGGCTCCAGTGCTTCCCAGATGCTTCCGCTGTCATCCCAATACCCTAATCCATCCTGAGAAATTCAGAAGCTGGTATCTTCTTTGTCTTCTTTCAGATTAGGGCAGAATGTGTCTTTTTCCATCTTCATCTGGCCTGAGCCCTCAGCCTGGAGTGGGGAATCTTAGAATCACCTCATCCTAGAGACCTTCTAAGGGAGCCAGGGTACACAGAGGAGAAGAGGCCAGGAGAGCTTGCATCTGCCCACCCTTGGGACTACTCTAGTTTCTAGTGTCTTCATACTATCATCTTTGCTGGTCTCTGAGGGCTTGTACCATGTGCCCTGCTATGTAATAACCCCACCATTCATTCAAAGAGGACATACAATGTCATTTGATCATAGGTCACTGACAGCCATTTAGGCATGAAAGGATATGTACTGTGCCATGCCTGACTCCAAGGGCATACTCTTGCTGCTGATACCACCACACTCTTCCAAACATGCCAGTTGCTTCCCCGGAGCCCCTGCCCTCTGACAAACTATTCTTCTCCACAGATGAGGAACAGGAGGCGCAGAACTGGTGCTGCCGCTGGAACGATAAGCCCTCGTTCTGTGTCCGGTACCGGCGCAGGCGGCCCCGCATTAGCTGCGCTGGATACAGACCCCCACGGCCTGGTGAGCATCATGGCTGAGGTGGATCATGAACTGCAGCCACAGGGATGATGTTGACAGGTCTTGTGTGAAGCTAACAGTAAACAGAGGGACTTTGGACATGGCTTTTGCAAAGGGGTGAGGACTTAGGCCAGGGGCTACAAGTGAAGAGGACTTTGGGTAGACTCTTGATGCCCTGAGAATTTGCCCAAGCTTGAGTCCACCATGACGGAAGCCCTACCTGCTGGGAGTCTGAGACCACGGCCCTAATTGACTAACGTGTAACCTCCTTTCTTTTAGCTTGGACATTTGGTGATCCGCACATCACCACTTTGGATAATGCCAACTACACCTTCAACGGGCTGGGGGACTTCCTGCTGGTACAGGCCCAGGACAGAAGTTCTTCATTCCTGCTAGAGGGCTGCACTGCCCAGACTGGCTCTGCCAGCGCCACTAACTTCATTGCCTTTGCAGCTCAATACAACACTAGCAGCCTGAAGTCTCCCATCACAGTAAGTGAGGGGGTATCCAGGGTATCCTTGCGTTCCCTTACCGGAACTCCTCGGGGACCGTCAGCTGGACACTGGAAGAGGAAGAGTATAAAGAAAGGAGGAGAGATCCCTTGTCTACTTTTCTCACTGCTGTGCCTAAGTACACGACAGGGAACCACTTAAGGAAGCAAGGGCGTGCTGGATAATTTTCTATCACTTCAAAGTCGGAGTCATCTGAGAGGAGGGAATCTCGATTAAGAAAATGCCTCCCTGCCAGGCAGTGGTGGCACACGCCTTTAATCCCAGCACTTGAGAGGCAGAAGCAGACGAATTTCTGAGTTCGAGGCCAGCCTGGTCTACAGAGAGAGTTCCAGGACAGCCAGAGCTATACAGAGAAAAAAGAAAGAAAAATAAATGCCTCCATAAGGGTGGGCTGCAGGCAAGCCTGCAGGGCATTTTCTTAATTAGTGATTGATGGGGGAGGGCCCAGCCCACTGTGGGTGGTGCCATCCCTGGGCCGGTGGTCCTGGGTTCTATAAGAAAGCAGACTGAGCAAGCAAGAGGAGCAAGCCAGTGAGCAGCATCCCTCCATGGCCTCTGCGTCAGCTCCTGCCTTCAGGTTCCTGCCCTGCTTGAGTTCCTGTCCTGACTTCCTTCTGATGAACAGTAGAAGCATAAGCCAAATTAACCCTTCCCTCCCCAGGTTGCTCCAGTCCTGGTGTCTCTTCACAGCAATAGTAACCCTAATTAGGACAAAGGGTTTATTTTGGTTCACAGTTTATGGGTGAAGTCAGCACATCATGGCACCAGGAGTATGTGAGGGGGCTGGTGACATACTGTATCTGCAGTCACAGTGGGATGGACGCTGGGGCTCAGCTCTCTCCTTTTTACTCAGTCTGGGTCCCCAGCCCATGCAATGATCCTGCCCACATTTGGAGTAGATTTTCCCTTCTCAGTTAAATATCTCTGGAAACACTCACATAAACACAACCAGAGATGTGTTTTCATGGTGATACTATATCCTGGAACAAAGGGAGAGAGAACACATCTATAGGAGAGAGCAGAGTAAAACCCAGTGACAGGATTACAATACATATCATCGATTACTGTTTGGTGTTGACACAATCGCTGGGCTACCAGTGAGCTTCTGGCGTCACTGTTTGCTTATGACGCAATGGGGACAGGGGTATTGACTGCTCCACAAGACTGCTGTGAGATAGCCTGGCTCCCACTGAGCTCTCCATGTCTGCATATCTGGCCCAGATTTTAGCCTTGATTGCTCTCTAGAGCCTCACTTCCAGGCCTCTGCTTTGTCTGTGGTTGGGCCTAGGCCTCCTCCAATTCTTTTCCAGGTTCAGTGGTTTCTTGAGCCCAATAACACGATCCGAGTTGTATGCAATAACCAGACTGTGGCCTTTAACACCAGCGACGCCAAAGGTAGGCTCAGTAATTGTCAGCGTGTGCCCCACTATACATCCTCAGCCCCCTGGGAGTGGGGTGCTCAGGGGGAGAGGGTAGAGGCTACAACACCCAGAAGAACAGAATGTTTGTCCCACCTGCTGTCCCTAAACTGCCACACTGGAAGACCTTCACCCAGCCTGGGCATAGCGCTTTCCTCGTTTCCTACCTGAGAAGGAAGAAGGGTCTAGAGCTGGTCTGGATGGTGTGGGGCCTTTAATTGAAGTGTGGTCAGGGTATCCCAGTGCCCTCTGTGCCATGAGTCGTCACTGCTGCCGAGTCCAAGGGGTATGCTGGCTGCGGTGTCACTCGTTGTCCTGTCTTCCAGACTTGCCCAAATTCAATACCACTGGTATTCTGCTGACCCAAAATGGCTCCCAAGTCTCAGCCAACTTTGATGGGACAGTGACTATCTCCGTGATTGCACTCTCCAACATCCTTCATGCTTCCTCCAGCCTATCAGAGGAGTACCGCAACCACACAGAGGGCCTTCTGGGTAAGAACCAGAGCTCAGACTATACCAAGGCAGCTACCCCTCCCACGGGCCTCGGACTTCCCTGCCCTGCTCAGTTGTTCCTCAGCCCCCTAGGGCACAGAGAGGGCTCCTTCACACACTGTTTAGGCTAATTTCCTGTTTGCCTTTTTTTTTTTTTTTTTTAAAGGGAACATGAAGGAGATGCTATGGGGAAGGGGAAGGCTCAGCTGTTCCTTTCCTCCCCTCCCCCTCCCTACGTTTCCTGTTTTCAGTCTTGTCTCCTTCCTTCTTCCTGTCTCCCCCATAGTCTTCTTGGCTTCTTCCTCCCTTTTTAAAGCACAATGGCTAAGTGTGAGTGCACGGTCCTCTCCCACCTCCTGGGACCCTAGACCTGGGACAGATCCAGCTGCCCTGTTGAATGCTCCCTGGAGAAGGGAGGCTTGTGGTGGTGAACGTCCTGCTCTGTCCCACAGGAGTCTGGAATGACAATCCAGAAGATGACTTCAGGATGCCCAATGGCTCCACCATCCCCTCAGACAGCTCTGAGGAGACCCTTTTCCACTACGGAATGACATGTGAGTCTGGGGATCCTCAGTCTCTGGTCCACTGGGCAGTCAGTGAGGGAGCTGCTGTGCTGCCTTCCTTGTGCCTGTGGGAATCTTATGCATCCTTAGTGAGGTCTAAAGATTTCGCCACTGTCCCATGTCTGTCCCCTGCATGCACCCTAGTTGCATGTCTCTTCCAGGAAGGGAGGAGTGAGTGGTCTTCACTCACTGAAGCAGGGATTTCCAGACTCTGAAGCCATCCTGTCCCTACCAGCTCCCATGCCACCCCCTCACGCACAGAGCGATATACAGAGGGTTAGGGGTGGGCACAACTGAAATATGACTGGAGTCTCATACCACCCTCGTACCTCCTGTGTTACAGGGCAAGTCAACGGGACAGGCCTCCTTGGGACGAGGACAGATCCTCTGCCTACCAAGTTCACCCCCATCTTTTTGTCCCAACTGTCGAATAAGAGCTCCTCAAGTGAAGACTTGACCTCTGTGTGCAATGGTGACAAACAGTGCCAGTTTGACATTCTGGCCACGGGAAACAGAAGTATTGGACAAAGCACCAACTCCATCTTTAGAACATTCCAGAACCTGAATGACACACTCAGTAAGTGACACAAGGAAGGTCAGAGAGACCTTTCCAGAGATGGGGAGCAGACGAGGACCCACACTCCATGACACTCCTCCAAGCTCCACATTTTCATTCCTTTAGTGGACCAAACCCTCCCAGCTCACTCAGGGCCTCTGACGGACAGCAGCCTTCCCTTCACTGCCCTAGGCACTGTCTCCTCCGCCACCCAGAACTCCTTTCCTGACACCCCCTTCTCCTCCCCCTCCCTCCACCCCACTGGCTTCTTTGAGCTCATTGGAAATTTTGCACATGACTTTCTCTTGCCTGAAAGGCTCTTTCCTCAGACAGCCACAGGCGTGTTCTCTCTACTTTTGACACTGCCTTCTTAAGCCCCCACGGACCACCGTGTCTTATATTTCACATTTGTTCATACTCCTCCTTCTCCTGATTTTTTTTTTAGCATTTATAACTACTAAGACTGCTTTATAATTTATAATTTCCTTAGGCCTCTTTTTCTATCACTTGTTCATTATAGAAATTAGTGCCACCTGTATATCATGCTCAAGAAATCTATTGACAAAACATATTAATATGCAATGGGATGGAAATAACAGGCTTCTGAGATACAGAGCATTGAGAGAGTTTGACTTCTCTTTCTGGGAAGATTGAATGTCCGTCTACATACCACCTCATGGATTTCAGCTCTTATCAGGGGTAAAACTGACCATCTGTTCTCAAGGCCCAGTGTGGCATTCTGTTCAGGAGACTTGGGGCTGGAGAGATGGCTCAGCAGTTAAGATCAATGGCTGATCTTCCAGAGGAGTGGGGTTCAGTTCCCAGCACCCACATAGTGGCTCAGATCTCTCTGTAGCTCTAGTTGCAGATGATCCAGCACCTTTACACTGACACCTTTACACCGACACCTTTACACCGACACACATGTGTACCGGCAAAACGTTGATGCACACACACAATAAAAATACAATTCTAACTTCAAAAAGAATATATAAAAAAAGAAAAAGGGAGCCTAAAGGTTAGACAGTGGGCAGTACAGACCCATGCTCTGCAAAGTTTGCAGATTAAGGAGGAAGACTGAGTCCTGCTCCGGGAGGCCGGCTGCAGGCTAGGTGAAGACTTGTAGGAAGAGCCATGGAGAAGGAGTGGAAAGGGAAGAGTGAGGTGCGCCCTGTGCATAGCCAGTCTCCGTGTTCCTCTGTTTAGAGCGCCCTGTGCATAACCAGTCTCCGTGTTTCTGTTTCAGATCAATATCCACCCTTTATCAACTGCAGCAGCAAGATCCAAGCCTACAAGGGGCGGACAGTGACCACTGAGATCACCAGCGACTCTAAGGATGTCACATTCAGCCTCTTCAACAAGTGTGGTGGCTTTGAGCTCTTTGGTATGACTCTTCGGCTGGCAATAGGATGGGAGGGGACACCTTGGGCTTTCTTGTGTCTTTATTCTGTACAGCGCCCTGCCTTTTTTTTATCTGTATATCTAAGACCAACAGACATTTTTTTCTTTCTTTCCCCTCCTCTCCTCATCTTACTCTCTCTCTTCTTCTCCCTCCTTCCTCCTTCTCTCTATTTGGGACAAGGTCTCCCTACAATAGCCCGAGCTGGCTTGAAACGTCCTATGTAACCCAGGCAACAAACAAGCTTTAGGTTCTCCCACCTAAGCCCCAGAACAAGGTTTTCAACCAACCTAGAATTACCTGAATAAGGAGGAAGGGGGTCTCAAGTAAAGAATTATTTTGATCAGGCTGACCTAATCAGCCTGATCTAATTATTTAGATCAGGCTGCAGGCATGTTTATTGCAGAGGTGAGGAATGTCTTGATTGTCAGTTATGGTGACCCATGAACGTGGGTGGCACCGATTCATGGGCTAAGCTTTGAACTCTTTAAGAATGAAGAAACTGACAGAGCCAAAGCTGCAAAGCAAGCAGCAGGCAGCATGGGCGACTCATTCTCTGCTCTTGATTGGATGTGACGACTAGCCAACCTCCCCCTCTGTCACGGACTTAAACCTGGAATTATAAGCTTTTGAACTTCAATTATGTGCCTCTGAGTAGACGTATGTACAGGTGCTAGAGGTGTTGGATCTCCTGGAGCTGGAGTTATACGGGCAGTGTGAGTCACCTGAGGCAGATGCTGGGAACTGAACTCCTGTCCTCCGAATGTGCTGACTCCTATGTGCTCTTAACCATTGAGCCATCTCTCCAGCCCCTGAGAAACAGCAGTTCTGAAGATTGATACTCACAGCTGGTCACAGCGGCCCAAGCCTGTAATCCGTCTGGGAGGGAGGCTGAGGAAGGAGATTGCCATGAGACCAAGTCCAGTCTGGGATACAGAATGACCCCCTGTGTCAGGAAAAACAAGTAACATCTATAGTTCAAACGGGTGGCTCCTCCCCCAAGAGAGTAGCAGTGAGGAGTGTAGATAAATTTAGCTGAGTAGGTAGACTGACCCTGGACACACACTGGTAATGCAAAGGTCATTTCACCTCATTTAATAACATGCATTTTTTGAGACAAGGTCTCATTATTTAGCCCTGGCTGCCATAGAATTCACTATGTAGAACAGGCTAGACTTGAACTTACAGAAATCTGCCTGCCTGCCTCTGCCTCCTGGGGTTAAAGGTATGTACCACCTTGTACAGCTGCATGCATCATTTTTATAACCAACATGGAGGACTTACCAAAGTATTAGAATAATTAAGTACGACCATAAAAAGACTAGTTTAGCCTGGCAGTGGTAGTATACACCTTTGATCTCAGAACTCAGGGGATAGAGGCTCTTGGATCTCTGAGTTCAAGGCCAGCCTTGATTTACGGAGTAAGTTCCAGGACAGCCAGGGCTACACACATAAATGTCTCCTTGAAAAACACAGTAATAATAATAATAATAATAATAATAATAATAATATTATAATAATAATAGTTTTCAGGACTGGTGAGATGGCTCAGCAGGCAAAAACACTTGCCACCAAACCTGATGGCCTAAGTCTCATTCCTGGGACCTATACACTAGAAGGAAAGAACCAAGCCTTGCAAGCTGTCCTCTGACCACCACGTGAATACTGTGGCATGCATTCGGGCCTCCGTATCCCCCCACACAAAATAAATCAATTTATTATAGCATATCATATAGCTGATATTATAGCATATCATATAGCTGAGTTTATAGCATTATCATATCTATTAAAAGAACAACACACTGTGGAATAAGAGAAAAAAACTACAAATAACTTCACTGGTGCTTTTTGTTGTTTTTACGACAGTTTGCCAGGCTTATCTGGCTTTCTGTCTCCTTGTCTGATTTTCTGGATTGGAATAGCTCATTTTCCCCTCTTAGTAATGGCATCTGATAACCCCGGGCTGGCAGCTGTGACTTGGGTTAAAGGGCCAAAGTTGGAAGGGTTGGTGACTTTCTGTGCTAAACCAAAACCATCAGGGACCTTTCTCTGGGCTCTGACCACCAAACTGTCTCATTTTGCTTTACTGGGTCACATCATGAAGGGGTCATTCTGTGGATACTTTCTTCATTTCTTATGGCACAACAGTGGCACACAGTGGTACTACAGTGGCACACAGTGGCATTACAAGGCTTTCTACCACCTTGAGCATCCTGGGAAGTGTTGGTGTGGCGTTAACTCCTGTCCACCCCTACTCTCTGTTCCTTCCAAGTTGTTCTTTATTCCATGTAGTCTGACATCTGATGAGGTACCCAAGACCTGGAAAGTTAGAGGAGGAATGCTGAGAAGGCAGAAGAGATGCTGGGAGGTGAAGCCATCCCATCCTGCAGTTTGAGCATGTGTTAACAGGACCATGCTTGATCCCCAGAATGACCCATCCTAATACAGCCACAGGCAGGGATGCATTTAGGGGCCTCTTCATTAGGGGTCTTCCCTTATGTGTATTTCTACCTACACCCAGCATGTTCAGCAGGTGTGGCCTCCCTCCAGCTTGGAGCATGACCGCCATCACCCTGGGAATCCCAGCTCTGCTCAAAAGGATGCCGGATGATGTGGAATTCAAGATGCCTGAGGGTGTAGAAGAACCACCTCAGTAGTCCATGTGTTAGATGCCAGGATGCACTGACCACAGAGCAGAGAGCTCCCCAGACACTGAGGTCTCTTTTTCTCTGGACAGTAAATGGGAGTTTGCAGTGGACACCAACATCCCCAGAAGCATGTACCCTGGAGATTCTAGCAACGGATGTCAGGACTAACTTGTCATCGGTGCTCCAGCCCAAGACCGTGGCTTGCTTCTGCAACAAGGAGGACCAGTGTTTGTACAATGAGACCAGCAAAGAGGGCAATTCTTCCCTTGAGGTGAGTAGTGGGAACTGGGGAGATGGGGGGTGTGGCAGGGCAAGTGGAGGAATGCTGTGAATGTGTTCTCTCCTGGGCGAGGTGTATGTAGGGAGGAGGGTGGAGCTGTGGTGAGTGGTACAGGGGCCATCTTGGGCCACAGACACGTGTGTGAAGTTGAACTTTCGTCATTGCTTAGAGCACCTCCCATTCTGTCAGGCCTAAAACATTCACCTCAGCCTTTCCCATGGTTCCTCATGGCACTGAGGAGTAGGACGCGAAGGCTTACCTGTGCTTCTGGATAGAGGTCTGTAGCTTCCAGCGTAGCTGCCCTGACTCCCTCCAGACCAGGGGACCTGAGCCCACTATGCTCAGACACAAGAACTCCTTACAGAGCGTTATGGAGAATAGCTCACCTCTCTTTGGGGTTGCAAAGGGAGGGATGGGATGCTGCTTTATGTCTCCCAGCTGTTTGTTATTTCCTCTCTCTGAGGAACTGTACCTTCTTCAGTTTGGAGAAAATCCTCTCCATCCACGTTTACAGTCAAGCTTCATGACCCAAGTCCATAGATTTTGGCCTATTTCTGCTTTGTGGTTTTGCTCTCCCCCCGCCCCCATTTCTTACCTATCTTACTCTTCCAAGGATTCCAGTGGAGGAGGTATACTCTGAGAGAGGCAAAGCTGAGAGCCTGCTACAGGGCCAGGCAGGGGATTGTGTAGCTTTGGGAAGGGACTCACAGTCTTGGCCTGTCCAGGAAGGTGCTAGAGGGACTGAGACAGCGGGGCTTCTCACAGCAGAAGCATCAGGGCAGATGTTCTTCAGCTTGTGGACACCAGCATCCCTGCTGTTATTCAGGTGACCAGCTGCAAGTGTGATGAGGACACCTTTGGCCGCTTTTGTGAACACTTTAAGGACCCCTGTATTGAGCCATGCTTCCCTAATGTGGACTGCATTCCTGGGAAGGGCTGTCAGGCCTGCCCTCCATATATGACTGGAGATGGACGTCATTGTGCAGGTGAGCTTGGGACAGGGTCCAGGTGATTTGTCAAGGG